CCCAGAATTCCTCAGCCAGCTTTGCTGGCTGAGGAATTCTGGGAGTTGAAGTCCACAAGTCTTAAAGTTGCCAAGGTTGGACACCCCTGATCTGTAGTCTTATGAACTTCCAACTCAGCTTGGAGAAGGAGGCATTTTGCCAGCCAGGCTTATGTCCTCTCTGATGGCTCTTTTAAATATACATGAAGGGACAGCGATGGGAGTCAGAAAAGATAGAACAAATAGGAGGCTGGCTGGGTGGGGACAGCTAATGAATCTCCTGAAAGGTTATTATAAAGAAGAAGAAGACTTTATTGCATTCTGTGTTGGAGGCCCAGACTAGATTAGTTTGTTTGTTTTTGCTCCATTTAACACAAGGAGAAACTTCCTGATTGCCAGAGTAATTTAAAAATGGGTCCTGTTTTACCTGGAGCAAAGATCAGAAAGGGAATTGAAAGCTCCTCCCTAAGGTCATGTGTGAGTTTTTGGCAACGACATCCCCAACATTTCAGAAGTGAGAGCATTAAAAAAAAATTATAAAATATTTCGCGAAGTCCCTGCTTTTTATTTATTATTTATAAAATGGCTGAACCTTGAATTCAAAGAAAATCGAGCTCTCCCCCCTCCCCATTTTGCACCAATCCTGAATTGCCTTCCCTGAACAGGAGATTGGTTGAGGTGTCTTCCTTGGTCATCCTACAGCTCTGACACGAGAGACCCTGGCTCATGGTCATTGGTCATCCACTTGGGACTTGAAATAGCAGGAGGAACCATCAGTTTCCAGTGTGAAGGACTTGAACCCACTTTAAGTCTGAGTAGAGACCACAGCTGACTAGCAAGTTACCTTTAGGAGGAGTTAAGATGTGTTTTGACCAGTGGATGAAGAGCCATTAACTGAGTGCCAGTTAAGTCCCTTCGAAAAGAGTCAAAAGCCAGGCAGAAGTTCTTTATTAAGCCTGCTCATCGGTAGGGGGGAAAAAAACCCCAGGAGCCTTAGCAGGTTCTGTTTTCTGGGGCCCATCACAGGTTTACTGGTGAGATAATCAGCTAGGTAAGAATTTTTTTTTTTACCATACCTGGAATTTGTTTGTTTGTTTATTACATTTCAGAACTTTCCACCTTTGGGTAGTATATAACAAGGTATTAAAATTGTAAAAGCGATAGATAAAAGGGATAGAAAATTTAAAAAGAGGTGAGGATGATAAAACACTGTTGAAATGATTTAAGAGGCAACAAAGGGAGGGATCTTAGAGCACTAATCAGCCCCACAGCTGCATGATCCCCATGCAAGGTTGTAGGCGCCATGTTTTAACTCTGTTTTGGAAGGCCAGGAGATTGGGGGGGGGCGGCTCTTACCTCTGGGGGAGAATATTCTGCGGGGATTATTCTGCAGGCAATGGCAGGGAAAGTTGTCTTCCTGGGCCCCACCCCAGTTGAAGTATTTAGCTGACAAGGTCCGCAAACATACCTTCCCTACCAGCCTGACTTGGTGGGATGGGCTGATGTAAAGATTCTTTTGGTAGCCCGGCCTTATGCCATTTGAGGGGAGATAGGCTAGATGCGGAAAAAAATAATCCAGGTAATAATTTCAAAAGATTCCTCTTTGTTTCCTTTTAATTTTTTCCTTTACTTGTTTCATCGGGTGAGAGCAAATAGCTCAGATTGAAGGAGAAACTGAGCAAACTTGATCAAAATTCTCTCTCTCTCTCTCTCTCTCTCTCTCGCTCTCACTCTCTCCCGTCCCCGCTCTGTTTTTCTTTCTCCCTGTAGTGACGGGGGAATCGCCTCCCAGTCTGTCGAAAGACCTCACCAGCTCTTTGGCCGGGGTGGGGGATGTCGGCTTTGACTCAGATTCCCAGTTCCCTCTGGACGAACTAAAAATCGACCCCTTGACCTTGGATGGGCTTCACATGCTCAACGACCCCGACATGGTTCTTGCGGATCCTGCCACAGAGGACACTTTCCGGATGGACCGGCTGTAGTGGGGGTGGAGAACGGGAAAGGGGTGTGCCGTGCGGTCCAAAGGAGCGCATCCAAATCACCAAGTCCCGGAAAGTCTATGCCACTCTGGTGCTCGGAGGGAGATCGGGCCGAGCCCGTCTCGAATCTCTTGCATCCCATCAGGGTCCCTGGAGAGCCGCAGCTCCACTGTGTGTGTCCAATTTAGCAATCGCTCGTTCTACACTTGCCCGGCGGCTGTCCTGCTCGCCTCTCCTCCCCCCAGCACCAACTTAAAACCTTGGTTCATGCCTTGCTGTTGGGAGAACGTTCCTCAAAGAGCTGCCTCTTCTACCCCTTATCTCCCCTCCCTCTATCGCCAAAGTTCCAGCATTTTTGGTCCTTTTTCGTCCTTTGCCCTAAATTAAAAGCTTCGGGCTTTGCGTTGGGGAAGTGGAGTGGCAGCGAAAGTTATATTCCCCACCCCACCCCACCCCACCCCACCCCTTCTTTCCAAGGCAGAGGAGCTATTCAGAAGATAAAATAGGTGTATTGTTTTGTTTTCCTGTGTACGTAAACTATCCAACCTTTGGCTTCTGTTACAAAAACAGACACCCCGCATGGAACTGAGGGCTTTCCCCCCCCCACCCCCCCCCACCCTGGGGGAGTTAGGGGACCGCTTGATGATAATTGGGCGTTGCGGGCGGGGAAGAGAAGGACATGATTGCTAAAGCTACTTTGTGTATACCACTGCCTTTCCGTGGAGAAGGACTGGACTTGGAGAGTGGAGAAAGCCAGCGGTGGCTCGCCGAATAAACTCCGTAAAGCCAACCCGCTTGCATTGGGAAGTGGGAAGTGGGAAGTGGGGTGGGGCGGGGGGGAAGAGTGGCTTGCAATTCTCTGCTTGATTTTCCAATCCTTGACTGTTTTCTGGAATCCCATCATGGCCTGTTAGCTCATTTGCCTGTGTGCATGCAGCAGCTTTCAGAAACAGCTGTCTGACCGCCACCACCCCCGTTTGGGAGATTTAGTTGCATGAGCCACATAATTCCTCTCGGCAAACTGACCGTGTAAAACTTGTTCTTTTTTTTTTTCCTTTCTTTTTTGTTGTTTCTTCCAAAGAATTTTCAGGGAGAGGCAAGGGCAAGCCGAGGGAGGAAAAGAAGGCACAAGCGTTTTTCTAATTATACATGGAAATTCTGCAATTTGTCTGAAGGGATGAGATCTGGGTCGTCTCCTGCAGGTTGTCGGGTTTTTTAAATAACGTTTTTTAAGGCAGCAATCTCTCCCCTTCCTCCCCCACTTGCTCGGGAAGAAGTAGTTCTTGTTCTGCGTATTTTTTTTTTAAAAAAAACACCCCACCTTTCTCTAGTACATGAAATAATCTTCCTCTGACCAAAACAGGGTCTGGTTATTATTATCTTTGTGCTCCAAACTGATTTAGATGGAAATCCTTTAAAATGGCTTCCCCCATACAAGGAGGCCCATGACATGTTCAGGTTAGGGCATCCAGCAGGCTAACCCATCCGAGGTGTGTGGATTCAGTGGCCCATAAACCAAGGAGTCTCCGAACTTGGCAACTTTTACGACTCGTGAACTTCAACTCCCAGAATTCCTGAGCCAGCATAGGGTCTCCTGCTTGGGCAGGGGGTTGGATTAGAAGACCTCCAAGGTTCCTTCCAACTCTGTGATTCTGTATCCTCTAGCTTTGCAGGACCTCCTTTCTGGCCAAAGCTGGAGGGTCCTGTCCCCAGACTGAATATGCCTCTTACTATTTGTTTCTTACCCTGTTTTCAAACTCTTACCCCTCTCCTCCCCCAATGAATTATAGCTAGATCTTTGTGTGTGTATAAACACACACACACATGTGCAGGTAGCAGGGATATCCATTCTGAGTACGTGTTATGTTTTGTTTGGGCCGTGGTCAGTTTATAATTTTTGCACTAAAAAATACGGATTTTTTTTTAAAAAAAGTGTTGTAGGTTCTTTGTGTAACGTTTTTGCTTTGATGTGTTCCTCTCCCCCTCCCTCCTCCCCATCTTCTAAATTCCGAAAAATGCTGTCTCCATTTCATAACCCTTGTCAGTATTTTAGTTCAGCCGCCTCTAATACACCCAGGGGGTCTGCGTATTTCAAATTTTCCATGGCTGTTTCTCAGAGGAAATCCATCCGAAAAAATAAAAAGGCCCTGTGTCCTGCTTTAAATAAGAGCCCCAGGTACTAAACAGGCCAGTTTGCAACACTCTTTCTCGTTTCCGACAACGCAGTTTGTTGGTTTTCAGTCAGATCTCTTGTCTTATTTCATCAGCATGCCAAAATTTCCTTTGAACGTTGACCTGCAATTTTGGGGCAATTGGAAAGCAAAATGCAGAATCCAGTTTGGGGGAAATTCATTGATTCTTGAGCTGGATTTTTTTACATGGAGATATAAATGGCTATTTTCTTTCTCTCATTTTTTTTAGATTTACACATGTACATAGGAAAACTTGTGTATTGATAAATTGTAAGTAGTTTTACAAAATGGCCTTAATTTACTATTTATGTATATACATAACAGGTGTATGGTTGTGCATGTATATGTGTGCACATAGTCACACACATAGACATCCACGCAAACAGACAAAACCTGATCTGAATGCAATTTAATTTGAAATAGCCAAGCATCAGGGACCATTTGCTTTTAACAAATATTATTTCAGTTTTCCCTTGTTAGGCTGGGGGAAGCTGGAAATACATGTTAAAAAAATAATTTTAAAAATGTAGAAGAAGGAAGAAATTGAAGACTTAAACAGCCAACCTAAGCTGTATTGTGAATCTGATTTTTCTGGCTGAGGTAGTAATTATGGGCCCGATGGTTATCTCTTTTACGCACCTTACTTTCTGTTGCTTTATAAAATGGAAAACTTCCCTCCCTCCCTTCAATTCTTGAGTAAAATCTGCATTAAAGATTAAGGAGGTGGGGGAGGAGAAAAATAATAAATAAATGCACTAGAGCTCCAAGTTACGGGATCTGCAATTTGCCAAAACTGAGGCGAGGTGGGAGGAAGGCAAAGGAATCTTGTTATTTGTAGGGCTTAGAAACCCCAAAGCTGCATTCTATCTTTTCGGGTTCCGCTTTGTGTTTTTGTTGTATGAAAAAAAAAAAAAAAGGATTGTCTGGGGAAATAAGCCTTTTTTACGGTTGTTGATGTCTGCATGAATGGTGAAGAATCTGTCAAAAAAGTGGTGCCTGTTGTTTAGGTAGAGAATTAAGACTTTAATTTAAAAAAAAAAACCAGATACGTCTTAACTGTGAGCTGGATTTGACTCCGCATTGGTCCTAGTTATGAAGCGGTCCTTCTTTATTTTCATTCCTTAAAATCTGGTTTCATCCCATCATCCCCCCCCCCAAAAAAAAGTTAGGGTACTATTGACAATTCTCTGCCCCTTCCTTTCATTTTAGCCTCATGATCAGCACAAGAGAGAACCTCGGCCAGGAGAAAATTACTGGCCCAAGACCTCTAAGTAAGTTTGGGGGCGAAAAGGAGCTCCTGTATTTCCAGTTGGAGTCAGATACTAAAAATCCAGAGGGAGGAAGCCAGAGGCTCTCTGGATGTTTTTCCTGTCCATTTCCAATCGTCCTGCCAACGTGGTCAGTGGCAAGGGATTGTGGCTTTTGCCACCCAAACCATCTGAAAACCAGCAGTTTGCGAGGCCCTCGGAGTGTCGTTGTTTTCTTGCAGACCTTTCATTACCCAACTAGGTAACATAATCAGTGCTTGCTTTCTGTTTATATTATGAGTTGGCTTGCCCTGTCGGTGTTGGTGGGAGGGTTCTTGGTGATTCTTTGATTAGGCTGTTAGGCCACTAATAATATAAACAGAGAGCAAAACCCACTCCTTTCCACTACTGATGACATTGCTTAGTTGGGTAATGAAATGCCTGAAAGTCTGGAGAGCGCTAAGGACCCCACAGTTCAGTTATTGGAGCTAAAATTGTTCTCTTCTATTGGAGCCACCAGGTTGCCTATTATTCAGAACTTCTGCTGGGTCTATCAGCTTCCAGGCTGCCATTCATTAGGTAGACGCCAACTCCTACGGACTGGGGTGACATGCATTAATTTGCCCTGCCCAGCTGGCCTTAATTCCCCCCCCCCCCCCGCCCCCTCCCCCCCCCCCCCCCCCCCCTCTGTCCTTAAAGCCAAGCCCAGAGTGCCGCTGGTCAGACTGAAGGAATATTATGTCCGAATGAGGAATATTTTGTGAATAGAAACATCCCTTCTAGGAAGTTTTTGGAGACTTTATTTTCTTCGTGCTGGAAAATACATTCTTCCAATAACTTGTCCCCCTCCTGAGGCTTTGTTTCTTTTTTATTTCCATATCATTTCAAAGGAACCCCTTCATTTCTCTCTTAATAAATCTGTTAACGAAGGACTGGGTGGTATAAGCGGTGCGCTGCCTGTCTAACCCTAACTACCCAGGGCCAAACTTTCTTCCCTTCCCCACTTCCACTCTGGGCCTCTGAAGAAACAAGACGTCTGACATCTTTACCTTTTTACATCTTTTGATGCTCCGGGCGTGGGACATCAAAACGCGCACCTGGGGTTTGCTTTCATTTGTTGACATATCTTGATTTGTTTTTTTCTACTTGCTGTTGATTGGAGCGATCCTAAGATTGAGAGGAAGGGGAGTTCGGTGTAAATAGTCCTTTCTCTCAGGGGGAAACAGGGATTTGGTCCAAGTTGACTTTGACAGTGCAGAGGAGGGAGGACAAATTATTTCTCTGTTAAATAGTGTCTAGTCTTGTGTTTGAAAAAGAGAACGAGAGCCAGAGGGTAGGACATCCCCATTCGGTGGTGTTTCTCAACCATGGCAACCGGAAGATGTGTGGACTTCAACTCCTGGCTGGGGAATTCTGGGCGTTGAAGTCCACACATCTTCCGGTTGCCATGGTTGAGAAAGACGGCCTTACAAGAGGCACTTTTCCTCTGAATTCCAGGTCAAGGGTAAATCCCAGTTGCAAGTTGGCTTTTGGAAGACACCTGACCCTGGGACTGTCTTAGAGAGAAAAGGAAGACCCTTGTCTGTTTCAGCAGCACGTTTTGGATGAAGGTGGGCGAAGGGAGCAGCTCACCTTTTGCTCAAGGCCAAAGCTATTGCATGTTCAAAGAAACTGCATCTTGTTATTGTTACTGCTGCATGTTAACGAAACTCTGGGCTTTAGTCTCCTTGGAAACCTAGTTCTCCATGAGCATAATGTCTCCAGGTATTCCTGTTTTGTTTCTGTTTTTTAAGTAGTCACCCAAGAGATTAATATATAAATATATATATATGAAGATAAGTAGTTCTGTTTTTCTTTCATAGATGGATGCTTTGCAACCTACCTGTCTCTTTTCCCTTCTCCATTGGCTGAACTGTTCCAAAATATTCAAAACGAGGCTGCATCTCCCTGACCTTATAAAGCTCTGTGCTTTTAAACAGTGAAGGCGCTTTTCATTTTAGAAGGAAAAAAAAACCCCACCTCCCTTGTCACTGTGATGACATTGTGAAAGAGCAATTTTAAATATCTATGTATGCACACTTTTTTTTTAATAAAAAAAGGAAAAACTATTTTTTAAAAAACCATTTCTGTGTTTTATAGGAGTAGCAACGGTGGGTGTGACGCTACGGTTCATACCCACGCAAGGGTGTCATGATGACATTTAATAGCATATTATGAATCATTTTTATCTTTTTAAAAGCGGAGTTGTTCTTTTTTTCATTTTTGTGGTTCTTTGTGGCAAGATGTGAAAAGGAAGGAAGGATGATAAAAACACTACATCAAGGCACTTATTAATCTGTTTGTGCTTTCATTATTTTCTTCCTTTTTTCTTTCTTTCGGTGTGATATGTCTGTATGTAAAAATTAATGTGAGATTGGCCAGTTTTCACTGTTGAAAAAAAAAAGGGGGTGGTGGTTATGTATTAGTTCTTTGGAGGTGCAAACACACTCCCAACACAGTCACTGTTTGACAGAGCATTATTCTTTTTTATTGAAAGCAAAATTTGGTCAGAGTCAATATCCACAAGGCATATTTGGCCGAGGGTCTATAAATACTCAAAAACATCTGTGTCCCATGAACACAGAACAGTCTATAACAGTGTTTTTCAGACTTGGCAACTTTAAGATGTATGGACCCCAGTCCAATATCTAAAGGGGCTGCTGCCACAAAGAAGAGGGAGTCAAACCGTCCTCCAAAGCACCTGATATCAAAACAAGAAGCAACAAATAGAAACTAATCAAGGAGAGAAGCAACCTGGAAATGAGAAATTTCCGACAGAACAATTAATCAGTGGGACAACTTGCCTCCAGAAGTTGTGGATGCTCCAACACTGGAGGTTTTTAGGAAGAGATTGGACAGGGTCTTCTGCTTGATCAGGGGGTTGGACGAGAAGACCCCCAAGGTCCCTTCCAAGCTCTGTTTCTCTCTTAACACTACACTCCATTTAAATTATATGTAGCAAAGAAAGATAGTTACTAAGCTGCAAAGTTACTAAGGTTGCCCTATTTTGCCAGAAAAAAACATTGAAATCAGTGACATCATAATTCACTGACTTTAAAAAAAAAAAAAAGAATATAATAATCAGAATGACAATAATCAGCTAAGGAATAGAGGACTTCAACTCCCAGGATTCCTCACAACTTAAATTTGCCCAAGTTTGAAAAACACTGGCCTATAAGCGCTCCGGGGGAACAGAACATTTTGGTCGAGTTCCACCCTTCATGTTGGGGGGTGGGGGGCGCTTTTGCAAGTTATTAAGGGCTGAAAATACTCTTTGGTCTGCCTTCATCCTTATTCCCTTTGAAGTACCCCCTTCCTGGTATGGGACCCTGTGTTGGTATCTTCTTTGAGAAGCTTTCCAGAGGTTCCAGGAGCCGAGCACATCACGATGCATGAAAATGACGTATATCTATAAATCATAGCCCTCACCCCCTGCTTGTCCATAGAAATTTGATGGCAAATTGCTGAATTCATGTGGCATGATTTTCTTTTCATATTTAAAAAAAGTAAAATGGCAAAATGGGTGCATTAAATATCTGTAAGTTTAGTACACTATCACTGTGTTTATACTAGATGCTTTGCCTGGTTGCTATATGAATGTGTTTTCTGGGTTGGCTCAATATTATTGAACCATAAACTACCCAAGTGGCCCCGAAGAGAGCTAACCAAGTGCAGTATGTTGTGTGAATGCATCTGCTAGGCTTGTTAACGTGCGTTAAGCAGATTAAGAAACAACCTAATTTGTTGAGAAATGAATCACAAAAAGATGTCAAGACCAGGCTCCAAAATACCGCTTTTGCTCGCTGTCACATTCAGAGCAAATAAAATCCAAACTGCCTCCCCCTCCAAACTTTTTTTTGTTTTTTTAAGTTCTTCTCCCTCTTCCCCTGGCCCAGAAACGCAAGTGTGGCTACTGGAAATTGTGTTAGCGTCCACATTGCCACCCTTCCCTTCTGTGTTGGAAGGCACATCTGGAGGAACATTTTTGACTCCACATTGTAAGAGGCTGTTGTTGGCAAACTACCCAGCGCCTCCCCAAACAGGGAGAAGGGCAATATATAAAATTTAATAAATAATAAAATAAACGGAAGCATGTCCTGAGGGAAGGAATCTCTAAGAATCTGGGCAGCAGCCAGACCACTGAAATAAGAGCATTTAGACTGGAAAAGATCAAGGAGGGCCCAAGAATATGGAGTCCCTGCAAGGAGATCAGATCAGTCGATCCTAAAGGAAATCAACCCTGGCTGTTCTTAGGAAGGGCAGATACAGAATCTGAAGCTCGGGTGCTTTGGCGACCAGAAGAGAAGAGGGGGCTCGTTGGAATGATGTTGGGGAAGTTTGAAGGCAAAGGAAGAGAAGGGGACAATTGGGCAAACTCCAGGAGACAGAGGAGGGCACGGGGTCTGGCGTACTTTGGCCCACGAGGTCGCGAAGGGTCGTAAGCGACTTCTGTCTGAACAGCAGCAGCAACAACAAAAGAATTTTGTAAGACTTTACCCAGGATGGATAGGCTTGTTTTCTGTTATTCCAGGAGATACTAGAATAAGCAGCTGGAAAGAGAAGGGAGCTAACTGGTGCTAAAAATGAGGAGACATTTCCCCCCCCATCAAGAGCCATGTGGCGGTGAATCCCAGCTATTTCAGGAAAAGGTGGGCTCTCTTGTTTGAAAGTATGCAAGCAGATCCTGGACTCTTGGGAAAGCTGTACTCAAGTCTGGCCTAAATATTGATATTCAGAATCACATACTGGCTGTTGGAGTAAATGATTTTCAGCATTACCTCCAATTCTAGGTTGGCATTGCTGGCGCTGAAGTCTTACAGACCGTAGAGCAACTTCCTATAAAGGCAGGATGACTGGATCCCATCCGTGGGTCACAGGGGTTAAATTAGACGATAAGAGCAGTTCAGTTGCTCTGTTTGTGCAGGATCCAGTAGCATGTGCGTCAGTGCATTGTTTGAAACCCAACCACTGTCTTAGCAGCTGGTCAGGTTAGAAGGGTTTGCTTTAGCATAGCGTGTTACAAAACACATTTCTCGTGTTTGTTCACTTGGGATTAGTAGATTGTATGAACCCAGCCTTCATTGTTTTGGAGGGGAACCCGCAAGTACTATGAAATTGACCACTTTCTGGTTTATCAAATAAAAAGGGAGGCTAACATAATGACTGCCATAAAAATGCCATAACATCGGGTCTGGTCGTGAGGGAGCCTCGATTTGGAACCATCCTGAACTTACGATGGAAATTCCAGGCTCCATTACAGTCATAAGTCAAGGACTGTAATTCATGCTGAGAGCTACTCGTCAACAAAGAAAAATTGGCCAAGGGGGATGCATTTTTTTTTAGAAAAAGCATTTATAAAATTTCCACATCAAGCAGTAGAAGCAAAAAAAAGGCATATTTTTATAACCCCTGCCTGCAAAAACCCAGCCGTAAGAAATGAGCCAGCAGAGAAGCAACAAAGTCTCCACAACCCCACTGATGCCCAGGAACAACACAACAACATCAAGACTATCCTTTTCTAGCTATTAGCTTGAGAATTGCCAACAATGTGTCCATTGTGTAGCTTGTTCACTTGGCTAGCTACCTGGAAAAGAAAGTCCCAGAGATGTAGAACTTAGGGTGACAATATTTCACTTGCTGTTTTCCTCCCCTTTGAATTTCAGTAGCTTGAAAGAATTACTTAAGTAAAAATCCAGCCAGTTTTGTGGCCTCCAAACAATGTGGAATAAAAATTTCCTATTTTGTGGAGCTCAGAACATTTGGCCGCTAGCCTTACTTCGAAGTCAAGACATTTTTATCATCTTTCCTTTCGTTGTTGTATAAGCACGGACTCTTAAGTAGACTTTAAATGCAGGGTGCGTACACAAAGCTTCCACTAACTTAGGGAAGCTTCTCCCCAAAGATGCTTTTTCAAAAGGCAGCTGGACTCTTTCTTGCTTTTTCCTTGAAAGCAATTCACTTCTCATCCAAGAAGTTCTGAACTGAAGAAGCTTCTTGGATGAGAAGCGAAACATCTTCAAGGAAAAACAAAGTCCTGTTGCTTCTAGAAAAAGCACCTCTGGGACAACCGGGACGACTGAGAAGCTCCGTAGGACAGAGGGAAACTTGGTTTTGGGGAAAGGGGAAGTCAAATCTAATTTGAAGGGTTGGAGATCAAAGGTGAGAAATGTGAAAGGCCACGAGGCTGCTTTTCCAAACCGTGGCTCTGTCCGGGGGGGAGGGCGGGGGGAAACCTTCATTTTTAAAAATGGATCTTGTTTTAGTGGATTGTTGAAAAGTGTGAGGACTAGTCGCACCACTAGTTGTGTGTGTCGTCTTATTTGTTCCAAATAGAGCTGCATATCACAGTGTCGATAGACTGTCGATTATTTTGCATTTGGTTTCTGAAAGGTGATGACTAAATTTCTTCAGCTGCCAATAATTGTAGGCAAAAGAACTCCTTGCAATTCTGCTCGTGTCATTCCTTTTCTTTCTTTCTTTTGAAAGGTTTTTTCCCCCCTCTTTTTTTGAAAGGTTTTTTTCCCCCTCTTTTTTTGTGCTGTGAAAGGAAGGTTATTTATTATTCTGTAGGAAGCTTGTGGTGAGAGACTACACAAAGCAAGGGACTTGACTCTAAGGTGTGTGGCTTTCAGATGTGGTCTCTTGGTTGTGGTGGGCTTGGGCATCAAAGGCAGTGAAAAAAAAGGAGATGCAGAGGGCACCTGGGCCACTGCAGACTTCCCCAGCGCCTCCAGCGCCAAAATCTGAGATGTGAAATCAGTGCTTGAAGTGGCCACCCGATTCCACAGAATTTATTTTGAATTGGGGATGAACTGAGAAGGCCACTGCAGTTCAGAACAACAGTATTTATTCTAAATTATTGCATTTCTTTCTTGGGGAATGTTTTCCACCATTAAGTAGTTCCTAACTGTGGGCATAAGCACTTGCACATTTAACGTTATCTCTGTTTGTAGTACGACTTTGAACAGTTATTACTGGGAACACCCGGAACATTAGACTAAAAGGTAGCAAGGTTAAAATCTGATTAATTCTAGCTAGTAGCGTGGTAGCTAAGACATGGCTTTCTTTGGGGGAGGAAATTCGTGTCTTTTTTTTTCTTCCCTTTTTCAAATTTCTTACGGGGTATCTGAAATCATGAGGGGGAAAAAAAGTTTTATCTGAATAATGTAAATTCAACCTGCCCAGAGCAGCTTCTCCTATTGACAGGCAGCTAAAACAACGAACACACTTCATATTTGGGGGGGAGGGGGAAGGGAAAAGTCTTTATTATTATTAATTTTTTTTTTTTTTGTATTTGAACTGTGTAACATCCTGTTTACAGGGGTTTTATTTTTTATCCATGAGGACTAGCAGAATGACTTTACCGATATATGCAAATCCTACCATTGAGTTACAGGTTTTTTTGTGGGGGAGGGGAGGGGGGAAATACTTGGACAGGAGTAAAAAGTTCCAAACTCTGGAGCATTGAGGCTTAATTTATTGTGGCTTTTTCTCTCTTGGCAAAAACAAAAAAAGCCCTGAAGATGGCTTTGTAAGTGTGTGCGTGTGTATGTGTGTGCGTGTGCGTGCGTGTGCGTGTTCTTCCTTTTGCAAACTTAAGAACATGACGATGATGTGAAAAACAAAAAAAACAAATGCAAAATTCTGTGCACATTCTTTTCAAACTCTCTTTTTTGTTTGTTTGTTTCCCTTTTTTTCTGTGAAAGTTTTTTTTTTCTTTTTGGTCTTTGTAACTTTGCATTATTTGTAAATGAAATGTAATAAAGTTAAGCTGTTTTTCTCTCCGGCTGTTCAGCTCTGCTTTTCTGAAGAATGTTTAATCGAAGTGTTTTATATCAAAAATTGAGAAGTTTTATCTTTTCAAAGTGCATCTCCTGTGCTGAATGCCTGGCTAGCTTTTTTTTTTTTCTTTCCCCTTTTCTAAACCTCTTCTGAAAGGAGCGGCAGATAATAAATACAACTTAACCTTTGGTAGACAAATGTTATTTTATTAACCGAACAGTCTGTATTTGTACAAACGGCTCTCCAAATTTCTCCTAAACAATGAAGGGCTGCATTTTTTAACACAGTGTTTCTCAACTTTGGCCACTTGGAGGTGCGTGGACTTCAACTTCCAGAATTCCCCAGCCAGCATAACTGGGTTGAATAGGATTCTGGGAGTTGAAGTCCACACATCTTCAGGTGAGACCCAAGAGATACTTACTGCTCTAGTGGAATCTTGGATTATTGGGTTAAGTGAATTACTTTAGGAAACTGTCTTATCCAAGATCAGCTCCAGACCAGGAAGCACTTACTCTCCAGGACTTAAGCCAAGACAGACCTGTTCATCACTTGCTCTCTGGTCCTCTGAACTGGAGGTGTGCAAAGCTGGCATTCTACTATTAAGGTTTGCTCCATGCCCAAAATGCTTGGGGGTTTTGAAGGCCGCCTGCGTGGCTTCCGAACCAGACAGATTCCCATCAGGTGTTGGGAGTGGCGGTGGTGGATTCCCGAATCACACAGAAGCCTCAGCTTGTACAGGCAGTCCTCGACTTACAACCATTCGCTTAGTGACCATTCGAAGTTGCAACGGCACTGGAGGAAAAAATGACTTAGGATCGGTTTTCACACGATCTTGGCAGCATCCCTCGCGGTTGGAGGGGGGCGGGGTTTGGATGCTTGGCCACCAGTTGTTATTTTATGACGGTCGTGGCATCCCGGGGTCTTGCGATCGCCTTCGGCCAAGCAAAGTCAGTGGGGAAGCCAGATTCACTTCACAACGGGGATACTAACTTAACAGGCGCTGTAGTTCACTTAAAAACGGTGGCAAGAAATGTTGTAAAATAGGGCATCAGTCACTTAACAAATGTCTTGCTTAGCCACAGAAATGTGGGACTCAATTGTGGTCGTAAGTTGAAGACTACCTGTGCGTATATATGTATATGTGCATGTGCCCCATTTGAGAACCGGGGTGAGACCCCCAAAGGCACTTTCCTTCTCTTGCTATGGAGGTTATGGAGCGAAATCCGGGAGGCCATAATGGGGGGCTGCCCGTGTCCCACCTCAGCATCAGCAGTGGCTGACCCAAAAGGATGCAAGACAAGGGCAGGAGACCACCCAGTGGAGGATGCCCAAGGAAGCCACTTCTCTGGTGGTGACCCTTCAGCCTTCCAGGAAGGGCCCCCTGGTTATGTCCACCTTTGTGGACTTGTTAGCAGCTGCCACGGAGCATGAACGGCTCTTCTGCGCTATGTCGAGCAATGAGGGTTCTTCAGGGTCTTGTTGGAAGCAGGTCTCGGGTGAGGTTGGTTCTAGGAGGGGTAGTGGGGAGGCTGCAGGGGCTGGCGGACACGGTGCTTGCCGCATATGAAGAGACAGTTCACCATTTACTATATCTTGAAGGGAGCAGAAGCAGTGCATGCGGCGCGGGCGCAAGAAGTCTCTTTTTCCACCAGCGGCAGTAGCATTTAGTAGTTGTGTTGGTTCCGGTAAGCCTCGTAGTCTTCAGGGATCGTGTCTATAAGAAAGAGAAGAGGAAGAGGGAGCATGTGAGCCAGGAGAAAAGGTCGGTCGGCAGCCTAATGCAGGCCTAGATGCTCTGGCGTTATGGGGGCTACCAGGGGGAACCCCTCAGAGAGATGCTAAAGACCTCTGCACGATCCAGAGCAAGGCACCTCTGGGTCGTGGATGCTCTCCGGATGCTCCAGCCGAGGATTACACTTGCTCCAGTAATGCTCCGAGACCACCCTCCCAATGGAGTCAGAGCGGCTCTGGATTGACAGGATTGGGTTGAGCCTCACTCACCATTGCAGCGATAGCGCAGGTTGGACCAGATGATGTTCTCCTGGGAGAAGCAGAAGACCCCCAGACGGCCCCCTCGCATAGTTGTGTCGAGGACAATGCCAGTGTCGGCCACCACCTCAGACCCCTCATAGAACCGAGTCCTGAAGTACAAATCCAGAGAAGGATTTCGCTTATTTCTGAGAGTCGCAATGTTTATCCTGAGTCCCGCAGGATCTTGCCTTGAATGTAGTTATGTTCTAGGTCAGGGGGTGGAGAACAATGGCTTCCTTATGACTTGTGGACTTCAACTCCCAAAACCCCTGAGACAGCCAATGCTGCCTTGAGAACTCTGGAAGTTGGAAGTCCACATGTCATCAAAGGGCCCTAGTTCCCCACCCCTGTTCTAAGGCATCCCAACAAGGGTTTAGTTAAAAAGACAATAGATGTGATGTGCAATAAAGCTCTTGACTATTTTCTGTGCTTTGTGATGCACAGAATTGCATCACAATTAATTGATCAAGAGAACAGATGAAATTGTCAATCCAGTTTGTATTCTAATGTAATCAATTCTGTGTAATTCTAATTAAAACAGTTACAAGCATGTTAGAGATAACATGGGGGGGGGGGGAAGTAGGTGGAACTTCAATTGCCACCATCTTGATCTGTTTGATCTGATCCTATAAGACTCCTAGTATCAAATCACTAAAACATAACAGCTAAACATTGGACTACTTTGCAAGTTTATCTTGAAACTGAAAAAGGGATAAACTAAAGCCAATTGTCCACTATGTCCATAAGTATTATGTAAATAATTCAGAGCCTTCTCTTGCAGATAAATATCTTTTAATAAAGGGGAATAGCCCACTGTAGTTCCTGCTGAAGACTTTCTGAGCACCACTGAAGGCATTTTTCCACCACTTCACAAAGGAATTTAGGAGGCTACATTGCTTCAACGGACAAAATGGAGCCTTTAACCATTGGTAGGAAATCTCAACAGATTTCAGGAAAATTTTGAAGAGTGGTATATATATATGCATCTTTTAAATGCCTCAGTGTTATACAAACTCTTAAATATAAATGTAAATGTTCTCTTGAAAGTCAGCTTGGAAATCTTAGAACGATATAAAATTATTTTCAGAAAAGTCATTAAGCCTCGACTACAGATAGTCCTGCAGTTACAACCCAGGTGTAACAGTTGTAAAATGGAACAATATAGACCCCATTTTACAATCTTTTTTTTTTTTTTGCACTGGTTGTTAAACACCATGGTCATTAAACGAACCCATTGTTCGCTATGGTGCAGTTTTGCTGAAAACCGGGAGTGCCAGTTTTCGGCAAAACTCTCATAAAACATGGTCACGTGGCCATGGGGAAGCTGCAAACAGCCCTAAATGCAGCCTATATTTCCGAGTGCTCAAAATGCATTCAAGCGCATTGATGATGTTACCTAGTTGGGTAATGAAACATCTGCAAGAAAGCAACCGAACTCAGGGAGCACCAAGGACCCCACATGGCAACCCTGAGCTACAGAGATTCTCTTGGTCTTTCCTTACCGGATGTAGCCCACCTGGGGCCGGTGCTGTAAGAACCAGCGGTAGGAAGTCTTATCTTTCCAGCCGACGTTCCGGGGGTCTTTCCACAGCAACTTCACCTGGTCAGCTGTGTCCCCTGTGTGCCAGAGTGAGTTACGCAGGTATTCTCCAGGCCCAGTCTTTGATTTCACCGCCTGAAAGGGAAAAGCAGGGTAGAGAAGATGGAACACGCCACCATTTCTCTTTCTGAATTCTTAGAAGGCTGCCAGAGAGATTTTCAGCTGTGTCCTGAAATGCTTTTCCTCCTGATCCTCTTCCCTGGGTGAGCTGTGATGAGAAGGGAGCCTGATGGCGGACTCTGCCCTTACCTTGAGCTGGATGCCAGGTTCTGCCACCGCCCGGAAAGGATTGGCCTGCCAGTAGGTTTGTTCCATCTGCTTCCACATCACCACATAGAAGCTGGCGCTATCCTGGTAGCCAAAGATGAACCCCGCGTAATCGTCATCTGTGGCCGTGTTCACGTGGAAGGTGCCTTCAAAGTCCACCCCATTAAATGCCGTGTACCCTGAACCCGAGGGGAGAGAAGACAAAAGGGCGTCACAATAATATATTGCATTTTTATGTCTTGTCGCTCGGGTCATAAGATTCTGAGAATAGCAATCAAAGGGGATGTTTGTAGCTCAGGGTTGAAATGAGGGGTCCTTGGTGCTCTACGAGCTTGGTTGTTTTGGTGAAGACGTTTCATTACCCAACTAGGTAATATCAGTATTAGTAAGGAGTCTCTAAACTGAGAGGAAACCGTGCTCCTTACTAGCACTGATGATGTTACCTAGTGTGGGTAACGAAACGTCGGCAAGAAAATGATCAAGATCAGAGGTGACCAAGGTCCCCTGATAGAACAGCCTGGAGGAATAGGAAGAAAAGCCCACCACCAAGACAGTCAGAGAAGACAAACCTCAGTCTAAAGCAGAAAGGTAATTTGAGGAAGGGTCTCAATTTTAACCCTCCCTAGTTCTTTCTCAGGTCAAGGCAGGGAATGGAAAAACACATTTAGACTTGCACAATTTGTTATTGTAAGCTTACAATAAAAGCACAGGTAATCCTCAATTTACAACCCTTTGTGTAGCAACAATTCAAAGCTAACAATGGCACTAAAAAGGTGGCTTGCAACAGGTGCTTACACTTACAACCAGTGCAGCATTCCCATAGTCACATACAACATTTGGGTGCTTGGAACTGGCAGGTATTTGCAATGGTTGCAGTATCCCAGAGTCGTGTGATCATCATTTATCACACTCTCAGCTGATTTCTGACTTGCAAAGCCAATGGAGGAAGCATGATTCATTTAACAACTATGTGATTCACTTAACAATTGCAGCTATTTGCTTAACAACCATGGCAAAACCAGTAACCTAAGACCAGGCATGGTTTAGGTAACAACTCCCTGGTTTACTTAACAGAAATTCCTGTTCCAATTGTGGTCGTAAGTGGAGGACTATTTATTGTATTAGCATTCACAACTTTGGTTTCCTGGTCTAGACTACCTCAAAGGACTGGCATCTTGCAAGTTATTGCAAGTTACAGAATCAAGATCACATGAAGTGTTAGTACCACTTTATACTGCCTTGGTAAAGCCACACTTAGAATATAGCATCCAGTTTTGGTCGCTTCAATCTAAAAAAGATGTTGAGACTCTTAAAAAGAGTGCAGAAAACAGAAGATTAGGGGACTGGAGGCTAAGACATATAAAGAATGATTTCTGGAATTGAGTATGTTTAGTTTAATGAAAAGAAGGACTAGCAGTCTTCCAATATCTCAGGGGATGCCACAAAGAAGAGGGAAGTCAAGCTATTCTCCAAAGCACCTGAGGACAGAAGAAGAAGCAATGGGTGGAAACTAATCAAGGAGAGAAACAATCTAGAACTAAGGAGGAATTTCCTGACAGTGAGAACAATCAATCAGTGGAACAACTTGCCTCCAGAAGTTGTGGTTGCTCCAACACTGGAGGTTTTTAAGAAGAGACTGGACTGCCACCTGTCTGGAATGGTATAGAGTTTCCTGCTTGAGCAGGGGGTTGGACTAGAAGACCTTCAAGGTCCCTTCCAACTCTGTTATTCCGATATTCCCCCTTCCTGCCTTTATGTTGAAGAGCTAGGGAGGCTCAATCTGAGATGCTTCCTCTCTAACCAAATGCTAAGAGGTGACTCTTTTTGCTGTAAGGATTCCGGACACTTTAATCATTGCTTGGTTTCCCAATGGACAGGCATTTAGAAGCAGCCTTTTTGTTCCCAACCCAACTCTCTGCTTTCCCATCTGCCTTTTCCCAGGTTGCGGTTTGTGTGTGTACATTTTGAACAAAATGTGCACATGCCTCATTTCAAGTAACTGAAGCTGAGAACAGCCTCCCCCAAATCCTGTTAATTCTGTTTACGCAAGCCTTTTCCATCGCAACCATCTAGCGCTCTTCGCACAAGCTCCAAAACAGAGTTCTCCAATTGGGGAGGCTATCTGGGGATGCAAAACCCAAGCCCTAGATTGTATGTTGCTTTCCCGCAAGCCATGCCCACAATCCCCACCCAATTGTCATTACAACTCAACTTATGGCCGATCGCTGAGCGGCCATTCAAAGTTATGACGGACATTCCCAGGAGTATTTACAACCCAGTTCGGAAGTTCCAATGGCTATTGCCTCCTCCATGGTCATGTGACCATATACCAGCGTTCTGCAACTGCGGCTTGCTTGCAGCTTCCCGTAGTCACACGTCCACGTCTTACAATGGTTTTGCCAAAAGTTGGCCTTTATTTCCAGTTTTTAGCAAAAACACCCCGTAGCAAACAACTGGTTTGCTTAATAAGCACTGCAAAACTCGTCACATTGGGTTGATCCCATGGGAGGAGCCACTTTACAACCATCACAACTTATGAACAGTCTTCCATTACAGTCTTAAACCGAGGACTACGTGTAATGGGTCCGAAGAAGGAAATGATCACATGGAATGGAGTGTAAATAGAGTAATAGAGGTGGAAGGGACCTTGGAGGTCTTCGAGCCCAACCCCTTCTAGTCCAACCCTGTTCAATCTCCTCTTAAGTAAGCCTATTCCATGCTGTGTAATGACTTTTGCTTCAGTTTGAGTCAGGCCAGATGAAAATAAAACTTTGACTCTGCCCCGTCTACTGTGTACTGACCCCACCGCTGGAAGTTCTAACTCCTGGCTCCCAAGGGTTGCAATTTCTTCTCTAGGATTGTATCTTAAAAGTGAACGTTGCAGCATTGAGGACCTCAAGAAGGAGCATTTCTGCATCCTGTACAGGTAGGCCTCAATTTACAACTATTTGTTTAGTTACTGTTACAACAGCACTAAAAAAAAAGTGACTTATGACCGCTTTTCATAGTTACAACCTTTGCGGCATCCCCATGATCATGTGATCAAAATTCAAATGCTTGACTACTGGTTCATGTTGATGACCATTGGTATGTCCTGAGGTCATGTGATCTCCTTTTGCAGGTCACGTGATCCCCTTTTGCAACCTTCTGACAAGCAAAATCCATGGGGAAGCCAGATTCACTTAACAACCGTGTTACTAACTTAACAATTGGGGTTCACTTAATAGCTGTGGCAAGAATGGTCATAAAATGGGGGCAAAACCCAGTCACTGTCTTGTTTTAACAACAGAAATTTTGGCCTCAATTGGGGTTGTAGGTCAAGGACTACCTATGTGTGATGCAAATATTTTAAAGCCATTGATTTTTTTTCAGAGCTTAAACTGTAACTTACCCACAGCTAAACCTGGGTCACTGTTCATGGTCTGCACAATTTCCATGCCCTGCAAAAATAAGAATTTTCTTTTTTCTTTTATGCAACATACATCCAGAGACGCCAACCTCCATCTGGAACTTTGAGAACAGGAGGGCATTTTCAGAAAATGACAAATGGCAAAATGGGATTTTTGCCCTTTGACAAAATGGCTATTGGGGAGATGTCATAAAACCCTTTTTATTCACAGAATGTTACCTGTACTTTCTCAACAAGACACTCCCTATTAGACCTGACTGCTTGTGGCCTTTTTGTAGACCAGTGTTTCTCAACCATGGCTACTTTAAGATGTGCGGACCAACTCCCAGAATTCTGGGAGTTGAAGTCCGCAGATCTTAAAGTAGCCATGGTTAAGAAATACTGTGTTAGCTGGATGGAGCTACAAGTCTCTTCTGTTACTCCCCAACTTGGAGACGAGTAGGGAAGTTGAAAAAGGAGGAATATGTCCCAAAATTGTTGAGAACGGAGCTGGCCTGGACCAGACCCTGCTTTTCTCCTGCACCATGAACTGGACCTGTATCCTTTCAGCCAAGAAGAAGAACCGACCTGTATCCTTTCAGCCAAGAGTTCAACCCAGCAGCCTTGAATCATCTTCACCCAGAAAGGTAAGTGATGTCCCACACCAGAGCAAGACACAAAGCTCCTCCAATCAAAATATTTCCCATCACAGAAACTCAAATTAGACTTTAGTTCCCAGAATTCCCAGTCATAAGGTTGGCAGAGCTCCCATAATGCCTTGTCATCCTCTCCATTGGCTGTGCTGGCTGGAAAGTACAGCTGTGAAAATCTCGGTGCCACTTCTCACGAGGTCTTTGTTGAAGGGAGAGGCCTCCAATGTGTGTCAACTAAAAAATACTTCTTTGGTGTTTTTAGTTGCCAGCAGAAAGGGAGTGGGGAAAGTAGTGCATTCCTTAAATGCTTCAGATAACTGCTAGGCAGCCAAAGCTTTTGGTGCGCAAGATTATTACTGGAGAGCATGGATGTGTCCCATTGGAGAATATACATCCAGTGGGGTGGGGGGAAGACCAGCTTCAAGGGTGAAATGAATGATGTGTCTTAGAATCAGCTGCACTCAGGTAACGCCGACATGGTCGCTCCTAATCAATGCGTCTAGAGACAGGATTTGAATGGGGGTGACAATGTGTATGACTGGAAGAATTGGACTCACCCTTCATCAGAACATTTGAGAGTAATCCCAGTGGTGCTTTTTTCAAGAGGCAACTGGTTTTTGTTTGAAGATGTTTTGCTTCTCATCTTGGAGGAGGAGCGAAACGTCTTCAAAGAAGAACCGGAAAGTCCAGTTGCCTCCTGAAAAGAGCACCTTTGGGACAACCATGACCTCGATGACAGAATCTCCATAGACATATGAGAGCAATGCAATCGTTCTTCAGGACTAGAAGAGTTTTCAATCGTGCAAAGCACCATATGAACCAAAAAAGAACAAGCACATCAAGAAATCACCAAGCAACCTCAGAGCTTGATAACTAACCTGGTTGAGGACAATCCAGTTGGGGTCTATCTGGGCATCTCCTTCAGGATCCAACACGACGGTTTGAAAGGCCCGGAAGTCAGTCAGCGTCACTTGGGCATTTTCAGGGCAAACATCAATCTGGTCAACCACCATGTCCTTATCAAAGTCATCCTGACAAGCATCTCCGATACCATCTCCTGCAAAAGAGGGAGTGGGGAAATCAGCTTCCCATAGTTGCCCTGGATTCAAAGGCAGAACTAGGGCCACAAGCATCACACACCAGCCTAACGCTACATGTTTACTGTCATGCAGTGCAATAAGTCCAGATCAAAGTCTCCCCCCACCCCCCGAGATTTGCAAATGGCTTCCTTTCTGCTCTCACTACACAAATCTTAGAAATTTCCCCCTTCCTGAAAACGCAACGGATGCAAATCATATGCCCCATTTATATTATATGTCATTTTTCTCTGTGTGTAAATTTATAAAACAGCAGACTAGAAGAGGAGAAAATGGAGAGTGGCTTCCAAAGCTGACAGCTATCTTGGGGTGCAACAACAAGAAATAAAGTCCAGATTGTGGAAAATAATTGTTCTACTCTACTATGGCTTGGCTGTTCTCCCATTTGGAGAACAGAGTCCAGTTTTGGCCCCAGAATTAAATAAGGACAGCGACAAATTGTTCAAAGAGCTCCTAAGATGCTGAAGGGTCTGGAAATTCAGCCCTACATAGAATGTTATTTCTGGGTACAATATTTGACCTACAAAAAATACAGTTAAAGGAATGTAGAACAGCAGGCTTCAAAGATCTGAATGGTGGTCATCAAGAGGAGGGAGTAGATTTATTCTCTATAGCTCCAACAGGTAGGACTAGAAACAGAATATTATGACAAGGAAGTTTGGGTTAGATATCAGGAGAAACTTCCTATATTTGATCTGTCGGCTGAAACTGGTGAATTCTTCACCTCAACTTTTCCAACAACTGGTTGGGAATGTAGAGATTCCCCAGGCAGTGTTTCTCAACCTTGGCGATTTCTGTTATTCCCCTTCTCTGCTTAATTTTACCTCTTTCTTTACCTGCTTCTACCTGACAAATATCTTCAGCTATACTTGTTAAAGTAGCCTGCATTTTTAGAAAGTCTAAACTAACCCAGTGTTTTCAAACTTGGCAACTTTAAAACATGTAGACTTTGACCACCAAAATTCTTGAAACTGCTACATTTGAAAAACACTGAACTAACCCTTCCAGTATGTTTAACTTTTCCTGAAAGTTTCTGTAGCTTCTCCCCCTAATGTCCAAGTTGCTGTTCCACAAGGTCTCAACAACGGCCCTTTGGGAAAGAAGGAAAATAACCTTTTCCAGTTGCATTCATGCTTTGTTTCTTTGGTCAAGTTAATTGGCTGGGGAATTCTAGGAGTTGAAGTCTACAGATCTTAAAATCTGCCACGGTTGAGGAAACACTGTTTTAGTGCAGGGGTCTCCCAACTTGGCAATTTTTAGACTTGTGGACTTCAACTCCCAGAATATATTTATTTATTTAAGGATATATCAGCTTTCTGTCCTGTGGTGACCAAAGACTTTAAGACCAAAGTTGCCCAACTTGTTCAAGTAAATCCTACACTGGCCAGGGGATGGATTATGGCCTCTTTCCAAATCCAGGATATTTTATTTTATGTAATTTTTTTAAAATTTGAACTTGGTTGTGGACACTAAGGGGCAACTGTTCTGTGTTTGTGCTTTCACAAAAGCCCTACAAAGGAAGAAGTTGAGAGAGAAAGCACGCTGTCCTCACGGTTTGTGTCCTGCTGGCCAGGATTGGGGACCAAACGACAGTTGTCAGGCCCTGGGGGATTGTGATCTGGGATGTTATCATCATCATCATCATCATCACATTCATCTCCAAGCCCATCCTGGTCAGAGTCCAGCTGGGAACTATTGGGCACCGAAGGACAATTGTCGCGGGAATCCTGGTGCCCATCTCCATCTCTGCCAACAAGAAAGAAAAGAAAACTTAAGAGTTCGGTGATGAGTGAAATAAGATAATTATAGAAAAGGGGGCTTTTTTATCCAAGATGATTATCCCCTAAATTGTCCCCAACAATTGGCACACCTATTTGGCTTGTTTTCAGACTCCCAAGACTAAGCCATCTGTCTACCAATGAAGCCACCAATTGAACCTCAGCATGAGTCACTTCTCCAATCAGCTTAGTTTACTGCTTTGCTAGATTTTGACATTAGGAGAACACTGAATGGCCTCATTGCCCATAACCTAACGGTGCAATTATCTGCATGGATCTTCTACTCCACCTCTTTGGAAAAAGAGAAAGTCATTATCCCAAAGGTTCTTTTTCAAAAAGGTAACTGGACTTTGTTTTTCCTTGAAGATGTTCCGCTTCTCATCCAAGATACTTCTTCAGTTCAGTTCTTAAGAACTTAGTAGAACTAAGAACTAGAACCAAGAAGACATTTCCTGACAGGACAATGAATCAGTGGAACAACTTGCCTCCAGAAGTTGTGAATGCTCCAACACTGGAAGTTTTTAAGGAGAGATTGGATAATCCTTTGTCTGAAATGGTATAGTGTCTCCTGTGTGAGCAGGGGTTGGACTAGAAGACCTCCAAGGTCCCTTCCAACTCTGTTATTCTATTCTAAAAGCAAAGTCCAGTTGCCTTTTGAAAAAGCACTTTTGAGACAACCATGACCTGGATGATTGAGAATCTCCATAGACAGAAGGTCTTTATATCAGCTTTCTGTCCTGTGTGGTGATCGAAGCTGTCGAGGCCTTCCCAACACAGTGGAACATGTGTGGCCAAAAGGCTGCTCGCTGCATCTCTGTGTGACTTACCTACTACTCTTGTCTCCCTTCCAGCTGGAAGGGATTCCTAGAGCAATTATTCTTGCAAGAATGCAGATATTCAAACCTTGCTACGTGTGAAATGAAGGCAGATATTCTTCAACTCACTTGTCCTGGTTGGTGTCACACGGGTCTCCAACAAGATCGTGGTCGGTATCTTTCTAAGTAACGAAAAGTAGAAAGTTTTAATTGAAATGTCTGAATATCAGTAGCTCAGGTAGCTATGCTGTTTGTTTGAGCTCCGAGCTTGGTGATTTGGTCGTGATTTGGTTGCAAGCGAATGGGGACGAAATGTTTGCAACCAAATCGCCAGGCTCAGAGCTCAAACCAACAACGTAACAGTTTTAATAGTTTTTTTCAATTTCCCTTCCTTTAGAAACCTCCCTAAGATGCTTTTATCAAATACAGACTTGGAATTCTTGAACGTTTCAAGTAAAACATTTTCCGCTTCTATCAACATTTCTATCTTCAAAAATTTTTCCATAACATCTCATACAGTATTCCTAAACATACCCTTGCTCTAACATTTCTATTGAATTGTTTAAGCTATGGCTGTTTACAAAAAGATTTGAAGCAGGTGGCTTCCCACAATCAAAAGTCAAAAGATTTTATCCTGTGCTGGATTTTCCAGGCTCATTCACCCAGGAGAATGAAAAAGTCAGGGCATCATCCCAAATTATGAGTAATGAAATTCTAATTAAAATAGCCCTCTACACTTCAATGGAAGGATTTGCAAGGACGGAACAGATCTTGGAATCAATCTTTTAGGTGGACATTCTGTAATTCCAAAAACAATGATAGAATTCATGTTTCTGCAACTTTTCTCACAGAACTCCGATTTAATTTGGAACGGGCCTCAGCTGAGCAGTAAATCTTTTATCATACATCAAATCTGGTATCTCTGTTCCAAAAATTTCTTGGGAAAAAAGGTTGGGAAAAACCTCCTGTCTGTTTAAGATCTTGGACAATGATTATTGCTTAGTGGCCTTCGACTTACAACTGTTTGTTTAGTGACCACTCAGAGTTACAACAAATGTAAAATGTGACAACTGCATCCATGCCATGATAATTTGCCATGATAATTTGCCATGATAATTTGCCATGATAATTTGGCAATGATGATGTTGGGGTGCCCTCCCAAAATTCCTAACTTTGTCACAACTGAGATTTAAGAGCAGAGACCTCATTTCACTCTCTGGATCGAGTGGCCACTAAAGAAATGATGGTAAGTTGAAGACTACCTGTATTTGGTGTCCTGAGCACAAGCAACAATGGAAAAAGTGATTTATGGCAGTTTTTCACACTTATGACCATTGCAGCATCCTCCTTGGTCACGTGATCAAAATTCAGAAACTTGGCAACTGGCTCATATTTATGACACTTGCAGTGTCCATCAGCTTTTGCGGTGTTGTGACAAGCAAAGTCTATAGGGAAGCCAGATTCACTTAACAACCATGTTCCTAACTTAACAACTGCAGTGATTCATTTAACAATTGTGGCAAGAAAGGTCGTAAGATGGGCCAAAACTCACTTAACTATTGTCCCTCTTAGCAACAGAAATTTGGGGCTCAGTTATAGTCATAAGTCAAGGACTACCTGTAATGGGCTAGATCAGGGCTCGGCAACCTTAAACACTCAAAGAGCCATTTGGAATTGTTTCCCCACAGAAAAGAAAACACCGGGAGCCACAAAACCCTTCCCTGTGCCTGTCTATTTCCTGAGCGGCCATAAAACTAGCATATATAGTCGAATTAAAGATTCTGTTTTCTTCTGAAACTTTTCTTGGATTTAACCACTGTTTGCCTACCGGGGGGGGTCGAAAAGCTCAATAAATCGTATGCCGGCGGGTGTCACATATTGGCAGTTGCGATGCATATTTTGAGCAACAGGGAGCTGCAGCAGAAGGTTGAAAGAGCCACATGCGGCTCCAGAGCTGCGGGTTGCTGACCCCTGGGCTAGATAAACAAATAATCCAGAGCAGAGGATTAAAGCAGAGGTAAAGCAGGTAGTATTCAGAGACCAGAATAGGTCCCTCTAAAGCAGGGGTGTCAAACTCAAGGCCCGCAAGCAGAATCCAGGCCATGGGGTGCTTAGATCCGGCCTGCAGGGCCGCTCTGGAAACACTGAAGAACCGGCCACGGTGCATCTGCTCCGTTTTCACTGGCAGACGCACCGCAGGCCGGTCCTTCACTTTTTGCTGGCAGAGGGCTAGCAAAAGAAAACTAAAAACAAAACAAAAAAGGAGAAATGTTTCCCCTTCTGCATTTGAGCATGCAAGAAGGGACAGGAAAGGAGAAAGGGAAAGAGGAAGGACAAAGAAAAAGAAGGAAAGATGGGAAGGGAGCAAGGAAGGAAAAATAAGGAAAGAGGGGAAGGAATCTAGAATAGAATTCTTGATTGGCCAAGTGTGATTGGACACACAAGGAATTTGTCTTGGTGCAAATACTCTCGGTGTACATAAAAGAAAAGATACATTCGTCAAGAGTCAAGAATCATCAGGTATGACACTTAATGATAGTCATAAGGTACAATCAGCAATCCAATCATACTAGGAAACAGTCAATATAAATCGTAAGGATACAAGCGACAAAGTTACAGCCATACAGTCACAAGTGGGAGGGGATGGGTCATAAGGAATGATGAAAAGTTTAATAGTAATAGTAGTGCAGACTTTGTAAATAGTTGGACAGTGTTGAGGGAATTATTTTTTTAGCAGAGTGATGGCGTTTGGGGAAAAAAACTGTCCTTGTGTCTAGTTGTTCTGGTGTGCAGTGCTCTATAGCGTTGTTTTGGGGGTAGTTGAAGGAGAAGGTAGGTAGGTAGGTAGGTAGGAAGAAAGGAGATTATAATGAGGGAGGGAGGGTCTGAGGGAAATACTGCCTTACCATTTGGCCACCACAGATGCCCCCGACATGAGTGACATTGAGCTGGCCATGTCCTCCCCCGCCCCCCCAAGGTGAAACACAACCCTGATGCGGCCCTCAATGAAATCAAGTTTGACAGCCCTGCTCTAAAGAGTGCAATGTCACCGAATTTTACCCTTTTCTGACCTCGTTTCCTGTGCACAAAAAAATGACAAATATTGTAAACCATCCAGAGAGTGCTGTAAAGCGCTAGGGGGGCAGTATAGAATTCTAAACGCTACTGCTATTCTCCTTAGCAAATGCAGCCCTTTTAGGTCATTAAGCGACTAAATCTATATTGTATGGATCCAAGCCAATGCCTCACCTGGTCTGGGTTACTGATGAAGGGGCAGCTGTCGCAGACGTCTCCAACTCCATCCCCATCGGTGTCCTTCTGGTCTGCGTTTGGGATCCTCGCACAGTTGTCCAGGTCATTTTTAATTCCTGGAGAAGAGGGAGTGAAGAGGGAACAGCAACCATAAGAAGCAAAGAATGTGGGGAGTTGCTGGGCTCAGTACGAATGGTGTCCCTGCTCTTAAGCCTCGGTTGTGATTAAGGCTGGGAGGGCGGGTAAATTGGGGCGGGGGGGGGACGGACCCCAGCGTGACACTTGCCAGATAATGTGGATCGTGGCATGGATCCATTTGGGAGGTTTGTTTTAAAGAAGAGCAAGCTAAAAAAATAGTATGTATAAAAATGGTAGGGTAATTTCTGATTGAGGACTAGTCCCTTGGCAATCGTTCATAGTTTCAATGGACACCCCCTCCCCCCAAAAAAGAACCTTATAACCTGGCTCTGAAATTCCAATGTCCACACACACACACCTCCCCCATACTCACATAACTGCATTGAGTACCTGGCAACAGTGATTTATGATGTATTTTCTGGAAACCGGCGTTTAATTCCGGTTTTCAGGAACAAAGCATCCCATAACGAACAATGGATATGCTTAATATTAAGTGTTCATTTAACAACTGCTACAAAAAGGGCCCTAAAATCAGGTCCCTTCAAGTGGTGACTCACTTTACGACCATAATTGCCAGGCTTAATTATGGTCGTAAGTCGAGGACTACCTGTACCTTCCAACAAAGCAAGAACAACTGATTTCATAGAGTAGTGATCTTGCTCTGTGAAACTGTGGAGAAAATATCTCTATCTCTATCTATCTCTTATCTATCTCTATCAATCTATCTATCTCTAGCTTATCTCCATCTATCTCTATCTTTATCTCTATATTTACCCATATCTATCTATCTATATCTATCTCTTATCTATCTCTATCTCTATCTTTATATCTATCTTATCTCTATCTCTATCTATCTATCTATCTATCTATCTATCTAATCAGCCCACTTTCTGATCCGAGCCTGAACTCACGGTCTCCATCCATATCGTTGTCACACAGATCCCCCCATCCGTCGCCATCGCTATCCCACTGGTTGTTGTTCTTGATATTCCGGCAGTTGTCACAAGCATCCCCAAAGTTGTCTAGATCTACGTTTCGCTGGTCCGTGTTGGGCACAAACACACAGTTGTCCTGCAGGGGGGAGGATTCGTAAGTCGGAAAGAAATGGGAAAACCAGCCCAGCTTTGCAAAAATTGGAGTAGCTGACAAAGCCTGCTTGTTGGGTTGTTAGTTTTTCCCTGCAATACACAGTGAGATGTTTCAAGGAAAGCTGGCAAGCAGGATAACTTGGGGAAATCTCCCGCTGAAGTAGAGAAACATCATGTTCCCAAACTGTTGATGTTCTCTTTAAGCATCCTACAAGCTACAATGCAGGGGTGTCCAATGTTGGCAAATTTAAGGCTTGTGGACTTCAACTCCCAGAATTCCCCAGCCAGCCATGCTGGGAGTTGAAGTCCACACACCTTCGATGTTTCTTGTCAGGGCAACCTGGTCTACCCAATTATGGGATGGAGCATACTGCTTCCGTTTTCGTCTTTCAGCCCCAATCCAGGAGTCTTCGCAGGCCGTTGCTTCCATGACAAACTATTTTTGTGTTTGTCTGCGATTGGGGCTGAAAGGCGAAAACGGAAGCAGTATGCTCCATCCCATAATTGGGTAGACCAGGTTGCCCTGACAAAAAAATCTTTCCCCTGGTATAGCCGACAAAGGGAGGAGAGCCCATGGCCTAGAGCAGAGGTCTCCAACCTTGGCAACTTTAAGACTTGTGAAGTCCACAAGTCTTAAAGTTGCCAAGGTTGGAGACCCCTGGCCTAGAGGCTAATACATCTACCTAATATGCAAGTGGCCTGGGTTCGAATCCCGGAAAGGTATCGCTAGCTGATGAGAGCTAAATAGCTTGAAATAGATCTACACTAGTCTCCCTTTATTTTCTTTGTCGGTGAAACATAAATTCAGCACTCAAGCCAAAGTTGCCAAGATTGGCCACCCTTGCTGAATGGATCCCTTTGAAATTAGAACGAGGATTCTTTGGCATGAGGAAATCTAGGAGAGAAGCAGGCTGAAGGCCACAGGATCACTGTCAGGAGGCATTCTAACCTCGGAGTTTTTTATTCCGTCCCCGTCAGCGTCGTCGTCGCAGGCATCACCAATCCCATCCCTGTCAGCGTCTTCTTGGCCGGAGTTGGGAACCGTCACACAGTTATCCTGAAGGACCAAAAGGAGGAAATGTCACTTAAAACAAAAATTTGTATCCCGCCTTTATTTTTTATTATAATTAACTCAAGACAGTGAACAAACTCAATACTGTTTCGCCTCTTATTTTCCCCACAACAACCTTGTGAGGTGGGTTGGACTGAAACTCACACAGCCAGTTTTCAGCACTAAGGCAGGACTAGAACTCACCATCTCCTGGCGAATGGCCTGAAATCACCCAATCAGCTTTCATACTTAGGGAGGGACTAGAACTCACAGACTCATGATGATTGGCCCACGGTCACCCAATCGGCTTTCATGCCTACAGCGGGACTAGAACTCACAGTCTCTTGAATTCTAGCCTGTTGCCTTAACCACTAGATCAAACTTTTTGGGAGAGGTTTCCTCTTAGTGTGAGAGTGCTAGCCATCAATGCAAGATTATTTCCCCGATCTGACTTTTAATTACTTGACAAAATAGTTTTTCAGTTATTAGATTTGAACTATGTTGGTTTGAGTGTGCCAAGATAATTAAGGCATTTATTTTTTTGAATTAAGACATTTATTTATTCCTGTGACTTCTGCACCACTCCAGTTTGATCTCAGAAGTGTACTGAGTCCAATAATTTGATTTAAAAAATCCCAAATTCTCCAAAATACATCAAAGAAGTGTACTTCTAAGAGTATCTGCAAGATATGGTAAAAAAAAAGTCAAGATGGCAGCACAACAGTGCAATCAAAATCCTGTCTTTTGGGGGTGGGGGTGGATCACAGAGCTTCAATCTCACTGACATGGCCTCCATCCTGACTTTGCTGACTGGGGAATTCTGGGAATTGAAGTCCACACATCTTAAAGTTGCCAAGTTTGAAAAACACTGATTTATAAAGGTGGCTTAGAATTCTTGGAGGATTTGGTTTAAGAGAAATGTGATTAAGCTTGAATCAGCTCAATGGCTGTTACTGATTAATCTTCTCCTTGTATTTATTTTAACAAATGTATAGGATATTGAGTGCATATATTTGGCAAAAGACATCCTCCAAAATGTCATTGTCCCAATTACAAGCATGAATTGAGAAAGGTAGGTTTAATTTTCCACACTTTCAATAATCATGAAGTTTATCCCAGCTTTATTTGCTGGCTGAAATAACAACCTTCACAACTCAGCTCTGTTTTCAACTCAAGGCTTCTGACCCCACTTAAATGCTAATAAATATTGGGATGCCTGGAAATTGTTGGGTCATAGTTATAACTGCAACCTGTTTATTTGTGAACAGTTATATCCCAAGACAATTTCAGTTTTAAAATGGTGTTTACATCTGTGGGGGGAGTGGTAAGAGTAAACTGGGCTTCTTGGAGTTTTATTATTTTGAATTAACTCCGTTCCAAAGAAACCATTTGGAAGGCCTGCTCAGAATGAAAAATGAGGTTCATTTACCTCAGAATATTTTCTTGGCAGTTTGTTCAACATTTGTCATTTGGTCTATTTGCTTCAGATGTTATTGCTGCGGTTAGAGGTGTTGGCAGAATTAATTACAGCTAGTGAATTTTTCATATTAAAAAGATCAAACAAGCTGAAGACAAGACTATGACTTCTTTACATGACCTCCAAAATGGGGATTTGGATGTCCTATCTTGGTAAAACCAGCAGAGGATTGCTTAAGTCATGTGAAATTAATTTCCAAGGGTGTTTACATGAGTTTAATCATAATAAATCATTTTGTTTTGTGCACACTGAATTCCTCTAAGAATGATTAAGGAGTGAATAAAATCGCCTTCTTGTTGGAATTGGGTCTTTAATGCATAGAGCAGAGGCCTCCAACCTTGGCAACATGAGGAATTCTGGAAGCTGAAGTCCACAAGTCTTAAAGGTGCCAAGTTTGGGGACCCCTGTCATAGAGTTAGTCCTTGACTTACAACCATTCATTTAGTAACCATCATAAGTATCCAGCCTGCAGGCCACCAGTTTGACAGGCCTGCCTTATATCAATCCTGGTCAAATGATTGTCCAATCTATTTTTGAAATCCTCCAGTGATGAATCACCCACAACTCTGGAAGCAAGCCATTGATTAATTGCTCTCTCACTGTCAGAAAAATTTACCCTTCTAGGTTGAATCTCTCTTTAACAAGCTTCCACCCATCACTTCTTGTCCTGCCCTCTGGCACTTTGGAAAATAAAAATCAATTCTCTCTTCTTTGTGACAGCCTCTCAAGTACCAGAAGGTAACTATCATGCTCCCGCCAACTCTTCTTTTAGATAGGTTAAACCGATGTTTCTCAACCTTGGCATGTTGAAGATGGGTGGACTTCAACTCCCAGAATTCTGGGCTGGGGAATTCTGGGAGTTGAAGTCCACCCATCTTCAAGCTGCCAAGGTTGAGAAACTCTGGGTTACACATATACCTAGTTCTCTCAATTGTTCTTATAGCAGGGGTTGGTATGCTACTGGTTCGGCCCGGTTTGACAGAACTGGTAGTAAAAACCACTAAAAGCCTTCAATCAGTTGAGAGGAGGGAAAAATTGCCTCCTACAATCAGCTGGGAGGATAAAAGGCCGAAAAGCGCCTGGGGGGGTGGGAGGGTCACTCCTAGCTTTTCGTTTCTTCATCCTCTC